CGCGGTCGGGCCCCGCCCGCGGGGCGCGGGGCGGTGCCGCGCGGGCGGGCGGCGCCGAGGCGGCCGTTTCCTGTCCTGGTGCATGGTGGGGTCGGACGGAGGAATTGTTGGAAAATTTCTCGGCGAGGTTCGTATATAAATGTGCTTTTACCCAGTGTGCCTTATGCTCCCTCCGCCATCTCCGGACGGGGCTGCCGCACCGCGCCGGGCCGGGCCGCGCCCGCCGGCGGCACTCGGGGAGGCGGGCAAGGGGCAGCGGCCGCGGGCGGCACCGAGCCGAGCGGCGGAGCCGTGGCGATAAAGCCGCTCCGCTCCGCGGGGCCTCTGCCGGCCCCTCCCCGCCCGCGGGGGTCCCCCAGGGCCGCCCCCCCCGGGCCCGCTCGGCGCTGCGTCACGGGCGGGGGCGGCGGGGGGCCAGGGGGGCGCGGGCCGGGGCGCGGCGGGCCCCGCGCTCGGCGGGCGTCGGTCTGGGGGCTTCGCCTATTTTTATTTTTTTCCCTTTTTTAATTTATTTTTTATTTATTTTTAATTATATTTATTTTTTAAAGAAGTGATATTTCTGGTTTTTTGTTGGCCGCTCAGCGGCAGCGGAGCAGTTGCCGTGGGAGCTCCCCGGGCCCGGCCCGGCCGGACCCGCGCACGCTCCGGGAGGGAAAATCCGCCGCTCCGGCCCCGAGTCGCTGCTGTTAAACGCGGCTGCGGTCGCGTTCGCACCGGAGAAGGCCCTGGCACCTTCTCGGCTTCTGAATTCATCTATTTTAGTGCATCTTTAGTGCAAGAGCATCTTAATTTTTTTAAATTTTTTTTTTTTTTAACAACTGCTCTTGTCGTTCCCGTCAGCTTTTCTCCTCCAGAACTTCCAATAGAACGGGATAACGAGAAGCTGCCTTCTCTAGAAAAACTGCCTGCAATAACGCAAAGATTTTTTTGTTTTATTTTCTGATAAGGTCTTAGTCGTGGTGCTTTTTTTCGTCGAGAAAAAATTGACGTGACTTCCATGGAAGTTTTAATTTTCTGTTAGGACAAGCCTGCGGTTGAGCAGGTCCAGTTCTGTATGAAGTCTCTTAGGGGTTGGTTTTGAACTATCAAAGAATTGCATTTGCCGTCATATGCAGAGTGATACCTGATGTCGTAGGGAATGTTATTCCTGTTTCCAGTGATACAGGAACTTCAGCCTTACTGTCATTCAAAAGAAACATATTTCTCTTGTCATACAGTTTTATCGAGATTCTGCTTCGGGTGCTATGAATCTGCAGTCTTAGAGGAGTATGCACCAGATATTTCTGTTGTAGCTTCAAGGTGCTAGTACCTGAAAAATTAAATTCGATTTACTTAGTAGATTTTTAAAAGAATAATGTATGCATAATACATTTTTAGCTTTATGCATTTGCCGTACGGCTTTAGAATGGCAGAGTACGATGTGGCCGTGTTTTCATGGCTTGTTTCTTTGTATTTCTGCATTAAGCTGTACACGTGTCAAAAGCGATTTGTCTGAATCAGTGTACACGAAACTCAGGAATATGTAGTCAAATAATAGATTATTGTTTTGGTAGTAGATGGCAGCTTAAATGAGATGTGAAAATAACCATTTTAAAGAGTTTTGAGAAACGTATTTCAAATTGATTTCGTAACTTATGTAAACTATTCTCATTGTTGTAATTAACATTTAATTTGTAGTACTGTATTTGAGGAAGAGTAATTTTGCTTTATATTAAAGGCTCAAATAAAGCAAATAATTAAACAAGTGTGGAAGGTTCTTTAGCTAGAAAGTCACGCGGACTCCTTTATGTCTTCATGCTGGTGTAGTATTGTGCTTTCCTCAGGAGAGGGGCATAGCAATAGCCAAGTGATGAATAGTCCTGGTAATGGGTGCCAAAATTAGTCTGTAAATTTGGGGTTTTCTCTAGAATATCTCCAGTTATGTGCAGCTTCAGTTCAGTGGACTGTTGGTGGCCCACATTTTTCTGTCCTGTGCTATCCAGGAGAAGGGAATTGGCAGGACTTGGAGCAGTGAACAGGTCTAAGCTGCAGTCTGCTGCTGGTGGCTGCTTGCTCACCTGCAGTTTTCTGTGGGATGTGCACAGGATTAGGCTAAGGGTTCCTCCGTTTAAATTTGGTCAGGATGGCGTCGCTTAAGACTGGGATGTTGATCTTCCCTTGTCATTGCATGTGAGCCTTAAGAGTTTTGGGTTAAAACGTGCTCAGCGTAGGTGGAGTCTTTGAGAAACGCTGTTAATTAAGGTATTGAGGAGTCTTTAGTTGGCACCTGTGAAACTCATTGTTTTCTAAAGTGTAGGGCTCAGCTGAATTTGGACGGGTTTCCACACAAAGGGAACAGCACATTCCAGATAATCAAGGCACTAATCAGGGCAATTCTTCCAATTTCAGGCGCTACAATGGACAGTGTAAATATTCATGAGGAAAATCGAACTGTCTCAGTGCTCTTGTTTTCCAATTCCAGTATTACTCTTTCCTGTCTGCATTTTGACTTGTATCTGCTTCCTTGATCATCCCCACGATTTCTGCTGCTTTTATAACTCCTGCAGCCTCTGACATGTGTATGTACATAGGACAGCATCGCAGGCCAGCCTTTCCTTGCCACTGGCGTTTTTTTCCTGTGTTGCCACATCTCTTGCCCATGTCTGCAGCTCACCAGTAATGATTTTCTGCTCGGCATCAATAGGGGGCAGTTTGTTTTTTCATCTCTTCTGTGCTAAAAGGAAAACTGTGCACCTGGTAAAGAGAGCATGAATTGAGTAGTCTGTTCCTGTACCTTGTGTCTCAAAAGATGGAAGGAAGGGTTTTGTGTAGCTTATGGTCCGTAAGATAGACTGTGATCTAAACAGATGGATCCTCTTCTTGAATCTGAGCACAGGTATTGTTCTGAGTCTGAGGGAGGTGCCTCTCCACGGACACAACTTCTAGGGAGGAGGGGAAGAAAGCCTTGCAACCCATCATGGCACAGTGGGTATTGTGGGGTTTTGCCTGTACCCAAATATGTAACTTGTCTGCTCTTGGTTGTATTTACTTAAGAGAGTACGATTTTGGTTCTCTCGCTCTATGCACTAGCAACTGTTGATCAGTTACTGAAAACTAGAATTGGATTAAATAAGTAAATGCTTTTAGTGATTTAATCTGTTAAAATTTTCAGGTTTACAATGCTTTTTTAATTGTATAGTGGGGTTGTACTTTGCTCCACCAAGATAATATTTGTTAAATAAGCGAAGTTCTTGGTTTGAAGGGAATTTACAGTTCCAGCAACTTTTGTGATTTTTCAAGGTTGACACCAGAGTTATACTTGAAAACTACGTAACACTTCCCTCAGTCTGTATCTTACAGACTACATAAATGTCTTCAGAATGTTTCCTTCTCTATAGACTTGAGACTTTCCACTTGAGTGGAAAATTGTGTTACCTGCCCAATGCCCTTGGACTTCATTTCTGATGACAGACTTTTCTAGAATAGGAGGATGGGTCCATATTTGCAAGTTAGTTGGTGTTACCCATATTTTAAGTATTTGCACGCTGAGCTAATGTACTACACAGACTTTCACAGAATGTATTTAGATGTACTGCTTTTCAATTTACATTTGTAATGTGGTTTTGGCAATCCAATAGACTGCCCGTTCAGTTCCTGAAATACAACCCTGGCTTAAAACACTGCCGTTAACTGTCATGGCTAATGCTGATACATCTCTAATGCAGTTATCAGATTACTAATTAACTCCTAACCACACAAAAAATCCCACTCAAAATTCCTTCTTTTGTTGGCAGTCTCAGTGGATTTGCAGGATTTGAAAGGGCATGGCCGGGATTAATTTGTTTTGGTGATGTAAATAAGTCACTTCTGTGATTTCTTGACAATTAAGAAAGAGGTCTGTTTGACATTAAAGTAAAACATGGATAGAAATAGTTGGTCTCAGTTGCTTTCAGATTTTTGGCCCTTAAGTATTCACCTATTCACCAGATGTTCCTAGTTTTATTTAAAACACTGATATAACTGGAGGGTTTATGATTTAAGAATTAAGTAACTCCCTGAAGTACTTCAGACATTAACTATATCTTTTTTTTTTTAACTGCATATAGGCATTATTGTTTCTAGGAGTAATTTGGATACAATTCTGACATGCATCACCTGGATACCTTCTTGATATAGCCAGCATTTTAGGTATATACACTTGATGTCAAGAACAAACAAACAGAAGCCAATTTTTTAAAAAACACAGTTTCATCTGTTAAGTGCTTTAAATACATTTCTCACTTCATGACTTTCAGGGTAAAACTCCACTGGAATGAAATCTTGTGCTTTCTCTCATTAGTGTGCTGAAAAATTATTTTAAGTTCGAGTGTTTTTTTCATCTTTGTCAATCACATTGTAAATTTTTTTCAGAAAATCATATAACCTACCATAGTTTCAGGCTTTTTTTCCCTGAATTTGCACTTTATAATTATTTATCCTTACTTTTTTTTACTCTTAAACTCAAGTGATTTATTACCAGTTAGTCTACAGTAAAGAAAATGAGGTTGTTTTGTTTTTTTTTTTAGTAAAGGTGTGCCTGAGCATTAATAATACAGGTTTGGCCAGGAGAGAAGAAACGTGTCTTAGCTTTGAGCAAGGAATATCAGCTGAGTTGAGAGAAACTTGATGGACTGTTTTGGTAGGTGAGTTCCATTGTTCCTGCTGCAGTAGGTCTGCAGGCCATTCCATGCACACAGCCAAGCATTCCCAATGACAGAGGTGTTTTCAGTCTCACCTGAATTGGGTGTTTTGGTACAGATTATATGGATGGCCCTTTCTCAAGCCAGACCTCTGCAGCACTGTACTACTAATAATAACTCTAATTACTGCATTACTCATTGGCCAGGTGCATTAGTACACTTTGGTACTTTATTAATAAAGTTTTCAGGATCCTGGTCTCTCTACATCTGCAAACAGTGCTGTACAGATCTCAATTGCTTGGCAGCTTCCATGCAGGATTTTTGGAATCCGTGCTGTCGGAAGACTCCTAAATTGTTCCAAACTGCTGGCTGAAGGCTGTGCTGCCCACTGGGGTAGTCACTTGGAAGCAGTGGTGCTGTAATAGTGCACCCAAGGCAGATGTGGTCATGGAACTGGGTGTCTGCTGTGAGGTGCTTGTCCCAGAGCTGCAGCAGGAGTTTAATTAGCTTTCTGCCAGCACTGCTGACAGCTCACATGCTGATGGAACTACTCTGGCCTCCTTTGATTAACCAGTAATTTCTTCTCTCGTATATCCAAGAAGCACGTGAAGTAAGCAAACATATTTGGGATCAACCTGAGTCTTTTCTACACATGTAGGACTTCTTGGTGGGTGGCTTTTGGATCTGCCTGTTTTTAAATGCCATACATTTGGAAATAATAGCAACCTTAGCACTCCCACAGTGTGAAATTACACACATATGCATCATCTCATAATATTATATATAAAATGCCTACATTGATCTCTGACAATAGGTTTAACATTCATAATTTGTAGATGGTATTTGCAGTGTAAACTGTATGGTAATGACTTTTGGGGGAAAAAGACTGCTGGAACATGAAGTAATTTTGTGAGGCTAAATATGGTTCTCACTGCCCAAGTTCTCACTTCTCTCACTGAAGTCAGACTTGTGCATTGTTATGGCAGTGATAAATTTGGTCTTGCATTTATCTGTTATTTCTGAGGAGATAGCAAACACTGTGGCAGTGAATTAGTCTTGAACTGCATTATTATCAGATTGTATCTCTTGTGGAACAGAAGAGTTGAAACTGTAAAAAGAGTAAAAAGGAGCCTTGAGTTTGACTGCAAGCCTCTGCTTTGGGCACCATGAGTCTCTGGAGGTAAGCTGTGCTGCCACCCTGAGCATGTACATTGAGCTTATGCAGTTGGCAGTGCTGTCAGTCTTGGTCAGGTTCTTTTCCAGGGCCAGGCTTAGAGCCCATGGTTTATAATTCACACACCTTTACCATGTAGAAAATTAGAAAATGATTGTGTAATTTGCTGTTAAATTACATATCTTGCCCCTTTATCTGAATCCAACTATTGTTACCAGATTCTGTAGTAGAGATTTTTATTCTGTGTTTCAGCCTTGTTTCTGTTTTATCGCGTGGATGATTAATGTGGTGGAAACTGATGTTTAATTATGTTTTGCATTTACAAAAGACTGGAGAAGGTACAGTAAAAGACACTGAGATTATATGAGAAATATTTAGAAGTGCCTGACATTAAATAGTCTGTTATATTTATTTGTTGGAAGTCAATCTGAATGATTACAGCATAAACCCCAATGTTTCAGTGCACTGGTAAAGTACTGGAAAAGGTAAGGGCTATTGATGAAAAAAGAAATCCACGTCTATTGAAGCATTTGTTCAAAGCACCCACAGGATCTAGATTTCATTTCTGACCCTGCTCCAGATTTCTCCTGTAATACTGGAAAAGATTAGCATAAAGGTACATAGGGGAACAGAAATAAGATTGTAAAGTCTTTAGTTCTCCCATGTTTGTATTTCTAAGCTTATAGGTGACAAATGACTTCATGTAATTAGTGAAAAAAAAATGCTAAAAGTCCTCTTGGGTCCTCTAAAAAAACTTTGTGTGGGCAAGCAATTTTTCAGTCCATGCCAGACATTTTTTGCATTGAGACCCAGAAGGCTGTACTGCATATGAATTATCAATTGAAGTGTATTTGACCAGATTGTTAATTGTAGGTACTAATTTTGGTTTTTCACAAATGTTTGTTACTCAGACTAGTTTTGTGAAATTACTGATATTTGCAATCATGTCAGTTGTTAAGGGCCCTAATGCAGCCAGTATCTAATTCAGAAAAAGCTTAATTACATTACTGTGCTGACATACTTGAACTGATTTTGGGATCCAACTTTGTCAAACACGAGAGTGCTGTTTTCTAAAATTTCTTAATGAAAGTTCTACTACTATGAAGTTATATGTCATTTGCTGTCTTACTTTTCTTGATTGGTTTTTATTTGCTACTTTTATGGATTTTATAAAATTACAATGGTTTTGTACATTATTTAGAAGTGTATTAAAAATAAAAGTGATGTTTCTTTTAAAATGAAATAAGTGGGTATTATTTCAAACTTCTCAGTGCTGTCTTTGCAATGGGAGTGAACAATGACAAGGTTACTGAATGTCTGGAGTAGCTTTTTTCCTGTCTGTCTTTCCCAGTTCTTTCCGCCCATTCAAGATTGTATTTTATAACAGTAAGTTTTCCATGACTGCTATTACAAACTTTATTCCATTTCCTGTTAATTATCCTCTAAGCATCATCTTTTTTTCTCTAAGGAGTTTCTGCTGCTGCAGATTTTTTCCTTTGTCCAGCAATGCAGTGATATAGTCATTCCTTAAATGATGAATTCCTGCTACTTTTCAGTTTCACTGGGGTCTTCCCATGCAGTACTTCCTCTCAGCTGCTGGAGTTCCCAAGTGCCCCAAGCCCCCTTTGTGCTCCATGGCAGCCATGCCCTCTGCCAGCTCTTCCCTCGCTTTTTAGCTGCCTGAGTCCACCTGCTGTGTCATAGTTGCTTGATTCCTGGTTTTAGTGGAGATTCCTGTTTCCAGTTGCTGAATTGAGTTTACGTGAAAACCACTCTTTTAACCTTGCGTCTTTTCTCCAAAACAAGTGATGGCACCCAGAAGATGTTATTTGAGTGTTAGTGGAGGGAAAAATAAAAGAGGTGGTCTCCAGATGGGCAACTTGATGAAGTCTTCATGAAAAATACTTTATTTTTAACCACCTCCCCTGAGTGTTGAGAATTTAACATGTACCTGAGTTCACAGTTTTTTCTGTTCAGGCGATTTGCAGGGGGGGAAAGGGGTGGTTTGGGGTTTTTTTGTGTTTTGTGGTTTTTTTCAATAAAAAATTGTCCCTGTGTACTTGATCTGTCAGTGTTGTACTGGGGTTACTGGCTGTTGCTTCCTTCTGTCAGACACTGTTTTCAGTTCAGAGATTTTTAGTCTTAACTTTTTTGTCTGGGGCTGACTTTATTTGAGAAGTGTTCTAACCACCTTAAAGAATGGTAAGATTTTCTCTGCATGAATACCATAGGAGTATTTTGGTGACTAATTGTTTCAGGAATGCAAGATGTGTTACTGTCCTTGTGAAAGTCTTCCCAAACACCATTAACGTGCCTTTGAAAATTGCAGCTTGAGTATGATCTGTGAAGATTTGCAACAGAGTTCAGGAAGTCAAGTCTCAAATTTTCACTTCAGTGAGACTTCATGACTGAGCCTGTACTTGTCTTTTCTGTAGGACAGCTCTTAAGATTAAGCAGAACACATGTGCATCAATCTTGCTGAGCTGCCACACAGGCCGCACCCCAGGGTTCCTGTCTTTTCCTAAAAATGGGTGCTTTCAGCTGTTTTTCAACTAATGAGTTGCAGTATTTGCAGTGGGTAAAGGAAGTCTTCCCAGATTTTTGCAGACAAAACTCCTGACAGGTTTAAAGAAAAATGCCTAGTGATGCAAATGCACAGAAATACAAGCAATGAGGTGGGTTAGGGGAAAAAAGCTGGTGAGATCCAGATTGGAAAAAGGATGGAGACAAATATGCTGGAAGCTCAGGAGAAAGCAGCACATAAGCCAGTTAGGGGAAAAGAGGATGGAAGAGAATGACAGAGGTGGACGTAAGGGAAGAGATTCGAGTTTGATGAAAACAGGCTGGTTTAGAAAAAAGCAAAGCAAATTAAAGTATGTTAGGAGAGTAGATTTGCAGGGTGGATGATATACCAACAGCATGGGGATACTGTTTTAAGTATGTGCATTATGAAAATTATCCTGGAGCAGTTCAAGTTGGAAGGGACTTCCAGGAGTTATCTGCCCTGATCGAGGCAGATCTCATTAGACCAGGTTGCCCAGGGCTGTGTCAAGTTGAGTCTTAAACACCTGCAAGGATGGAGAGCCCATAATCTGTTTTGGCAATCTGTTCCTGTATTTGACCACTCTTACAAAATAATGCTGTAGCAGCAATCTCTCTGATGGGATGATCGTTTCTCTACAGGCCAACTTTACATCTTTCCTTGTTCTCAGAACTCATAGCCCTGTCTGGTTAGTCTGTGTTCTCCACTGGGGAGAAGGAAGAGAGGCTGAAAGGGAGCAGCACATCCACTCTTGGCTGAGGGTTCTCCTCCCTGCACAGGAGTGACAGAGCAAAACTGCTGTCACCAAAGAGGGAGTGAGAGCTGGGCTGGGGGTTGCTGTCTGGGAGGGTTCCAGTGCTCCAACCTCTGTTATGAGGGATCTGCTTCCAAGGTGGGTGTAAACATGAAATCTCTTAAATCAGAGAGGCAGGAAGGTGATAGACAGTGGTGTGATGGGCATGTAGAACAGACCAGCAGTAAGAGAAGACTTGGAGGCTAGTGCAGAAGGAGCTGGTGTGGACATGGGAGTATTTTAGATTGTTCTGATAAGAAGGATGGGATTATATTTGGGAAGAGGGATGTCCTGGAAATTTGGTATCGTGGTAAGACTGGCTGAAGAAGGAAATTAATACTTGAAGGAGAAGGGATGGAGCTGAGGGTAAGAAACTAGTGGAAGGACAGAGGATTGGGAAAAGGATATATTGGAAGGGATCATTTAAAGTAGCTAAAACTGGGAGAAAGCAGCAATACAGTCTGTGTAAGTTACTGTGTAAGATGGTAGTGATTGTCCAGATCACGTGGAATAGAGGAAAATAGTAGACGTTGCTCTGTGTGCAGCAGTTCACTTTGGTTCTTTTCAAGTGTGTGATACTTGTTAGTCAGCAACGCTACAGTAACAAACACTGAAACAATTTAGACAAATACTATTGCTCCTTCAGCCCTTGAATTTATCTCGTATTAGATTTCTTCCAAAATAGCTACTGACCCATTAAGCCATTGGTTCTGCTCAGACTCTGTCAGAACTGTGCAGCTGTCTGTGTTGATGGGACTCCTCACTCCTGCCCCAAAGGTGAGAGAAAAGCCCTAAGCCCTGGAGGAATACTCGTCAGGCTTACCTGAGCTGAAAGGCCTTTGAGGCGCAGTCCCTGCTGGAATTGTTTCACTGTACAGTTCTAGTCAAAACCAGTGGTGGTGTAGCCTTTCTTTGCTGTGTGAAATGGTCTGGCTGTTTTGCAACCTGCTTCTGTGAGGTGTCCTGAAGATTCAGTGAATGGAAAATACTTACACCACAGACCTCTGTTAGCAGTTAAGAAGACAGACCAGACCCTCTGTGCAGCACTAGCATATAATACCATAATTACTTAATTTAACTTCCTACAAGCTGGCAGTACCTCCAGAGAAGCAGTCCTTCAGACTGGTCTGGAATAAATCTCATTTTGCTGCTAGTTGATTTTTTTTTAACTGCATCAGTTCTCTTATTTGATACATAATACATGAGTGCTGAGAGTAGGGCCACTTCAGTGCCTGGCTAGGCTGATTCTGGTTAGGCTACAGCATGTTGTCCCATTTTTAGTTTGCAAGCAAAGTGCTTCTTAAGTATTTTCTCCCTATTTTGAGATTGGGGGTCATGAGTAGTAAGGAAAGAAGTTACTTGTCGAAAGGCACTGATATGGAGATGGCAGAGGAAGAGGATCTCTTATGTCCTCATACAATTCCTTGTCCCTTAGATTATAGTATCCAAAAAAACTTTGCTATTTCATTTTCTTCAGAAACATCTAGTATAAATGCAATTTAGTCTGGATGGCTTCTCTGCACTGGCTCTTTTTTGGTTGTATTAGAACTCTTTAGTGGCCTCATTTTCTGTAAAAGCTTTTCTTGAAAAGGATGCTGGGAAGAATTACCCATCTTCTCTTGGATGTTAAAAAAAATCTCTCACACCCATTTTGAATTATATTTTGGATTTGGACTCCGCGTCCAGTTTCAGGAGGTGCTGTGGGTACTTGGTGTAACAGCACATTAAAATTTAGCGGGGTTTGGGCTGTGGGGACACACCGATTTGTGCACAGCCCTCGCTGAAGCCCTTCACGTGGCCAAAGCTGCTGCTTGTGCCTCGGCTTGTCCTCTGCTCAGACTAAGAAACTGAAGTAGCTGCCTGCAGCTCTAGGAAATAGTCTGGCTCACTATGTACACTTGGATGTATTTGGAAAACATGGCGTGGGTATAACTTTCAGCTACTAAATGAGTGTACCAACCTTTTAAATACTGTAGGCATGCTGGAGTACCTACATGGTCTAATTTTGCATTCCTTATTTACTTTCAATATAGGCATGGTTTTCTCAGTAGTCTCTGACACTGTTGATGAATTATCCAAGGGCAGATTTCCGAGAGTTGAAAATAGTTTAGTTATTTAGAAACGTAATCAAAAGTAAATTAAAAACCTTAGATTATTCTTCTCAGCCTTGAATTATAAACCAGCAGGTCATAGAACCATAGTAGGAATAAAAGCCGTGATTGTTTATCTGTAACCTTTCTGTGAGATTATCTAACTGTTTCTTACTGTAAGAAAAACTCTTGACTATCAAGAGGTTGGAAAGGGGGGAATATAATGCTCTGTAGCCTGGATTCCAGTTCCATGTGATGTTTTTTTTCCCCTCACTTTTCATCCACATCTAAGTGGATGTCATATTAACTAAAGGGCTTGCAGAACTCGGTTTTATGTGTGGTTGAGGTTTTTTTTCTCCCTGTGGTTAAAGCCAACATCTGAGTTAGCAGAATGCAATGTTGTATATTTCCTTTATAGCTTCTTAATCTAGGAATACTGAAAATTATTAATAGCCTTTCAGGTTCAGTAAACTTATAAATCTCACGTATTGAAACATGCCTGGGTAAAAAATCAGTATCCAAAGGGGTGGCTATATCTGGTTCTGTGAGATACAGCAGTCACTCCCTAGTCACTATGCTGTTGTCTAATTAACACATTTCATCATGAGATACTTCACTATTTTCAAGGACAGATTTTTTTTTTTTTAAATTTAAACAGAAACCTTTCTGGAAAATCTAGGAAAACAGCTGGATCATTCTGTTAGACTTACTAATGAAGTGTGCATTTCCCAGTGTGTGCTAGTTTCTGTCTGGCACTGGAGAAATGTTTAATTTATGCAGGTAAAGGTCCACTGTTGTCAGGGGTGACCGTGGATGAATTGTCAGCTTTATTTTAATTCTGGGGACAAACAGATATCATTACTTATACTGTCATTATGACCATTATTCTTTATACATTGGTTAAATAATTTATATTTAACTGAAATCTGAATGTGGTTGATGCGCTTTAATTTAGTAACTACTACCTGAAGTCCTTAACAGCTTAGTTAATTCAGGAAGTAATGTGTACCTATTTCAGATAACTTTTATTCCTCAGAAGTATTTTCCAAGTAAGTCAATAATTCTTTGCATCTTTTTTTATGTAAAACATAACAAAATATTTGTAGCAGCTGTATAAAAATCACATTAAACTGGGATTAACTGTTTCTGGTTCTGTATTTAAATTTTCTATTTTGTGAATGCTTTCTTTCTAGGTAGACAATGTTATTAGCTCAGATAAATCGAGACTCTCAGGGAATGACTGAATTTTCTGGAGGAGGAATGGAGGCCCAGCATGTGACTCTGTGTCTAACAGAAGCTGTAGCTGTGCAAGGTGAACCTTCAGGTTAAAATATCTCTACATTATTGTGTCTTTCCTCTTTGAAACTCAGATAAAACACTAAAATTCATGTGCATTTGAAATGAAAAATCTAACAGGCAATAGTTAACTGAGATTGGTTAAATTCACTAATTTAATTCTGAAAGGAAATTATCTCTTAATTAAGAGAATAGAAGTGTAAATGTGCCAAAATGCAAAATATAAAATCTGACTTTATTCTCAGTATAGTCTTACTGTTTTATACTTTGTAACTTTAGTTTATATCTGTGTATTAAACAAGTTTTAAAATAGATTAATGACCTGAGATTGGCTTAAACTTAATGTTTTCTGACAGCTTTATTATGATTTTACATGATTACAAACTCTTTCTCCTATTTTAATCTAAATAGTTTTGTTTATCAATGACAGCTAGTGTTGTACAAAACAAAATTATCAATAGAAGTATATATATTGTTATTTAATTGTTAACTGTTGTGACCTAATTTATAGTTAGTTATTTTGTGTCGTATATTTTTTTAGTTAAGGAAAATAAGATTTTAGCTGTCACGTTTACAGAGCAAAATCTTGAACATATGACCCAAATATGTGGTCAAGGTTCAAAAACCAGAAGGCAAGTAAGAACTACTTCCCATTATTATTTCTGAAGTCAATATGCTTTAAGGGGATGTAATAATTTATAGAGATCTCTAAGTTGAGATTTCTAGGGTTTGATGCTGGTTATAGTGAACATGAAATTTTTTTCTCTGCCAGATGGGGACAACTTAGAAAACATGGAAGGTGTAAGTTTGCAAGCAGTTACCCTGGCTGATGGCTCCACTGCTTACATACAGCACAATTCTAAAGGTACATAAAGGACTGGAAGTTGATGAGTATTCAAATGGTATCCCCATTTTTAGCCCTCTCTTTGGATTTTAAAGTCAGGCAAAATCTGTACAGTGTTTATGAAGTTCCAATTCCAGTTGGAAATTACAGGTATTACAGTAATAGTATAAAATAACTATTTATTTCTGCTACTAATAAGATGCAAAAATTAAATTCAGAACATATGTCAAACAAAAGTGAAGTGATCTTTACAGTTCAAACCGAAATACCAACATTCTACCTACTGGATAGGACAGCAGACCTTTTCCATTTTTATAATTCCAGAATTTTAAAACCTCCATACGGTCACACTGTGCTTACTCTTTACCAAACATTATTTCTTGCTAATATTTTATTTATATTTTAATCCAGAAAGTATCAACTGTGTGTTTAAACTGTGTTAGACAATTAGAATTCTTAAAAATATTCTGTATATTTCAGATGGTAAATTAATGGATGGCCAAGTGATTCAATTAGAAGATGGTTCTGCTGCTTATGTTCAACATGTACCTATGCCTAAAAGCAGTAAGTGCAATAATACAAGAAATATGTTATAAAATAACGTATTACTGATAAATATTGATATCAATTAATTAACAGTCATGATAATAGCTTGATTTCTTATTTTAATGGAAACAGTCATGAAGAGATCTTAGGTATTTTGTAATTCTAGGTATTTAGTGTTTAATCTTTCCAACTAAGGTATTCTTCAGACTATTGTTGAAGTTCTGTAATTCTGTGAACAGGGGACAGCTTGCGCCTGGAAGATGGACAGGCAGTTCAGCTGGAAGATGGAACTACGGCATTTATTCATCACACCTCGAAAGGTAACTTTCTTTTTTGAAGTGTGATTCATTACATTAGTGTTCAACAGAACTTGAGCAGTATCAAACATGATACTCTTGTAAACTATCACGTTAGGTAGTGTGATTCCCACTGTAAATGACTTGTTGCCTTTACTTTGTGACATCTGAAAATTGTTGAAATGAGACTGGTTTGGTTCCCTTTTTGGGTCTCATATAACAGTTGTAAACAGAATCCAAACCAGCATATTCCACTTTTTTTTTTAACCCAGGGTCACATTAGAGTAAGTGCATGTCATGTTAGTAGAGAATGTAAGGCCTTATACAGATGTCAGCAATAATTGCATGTGAAAATGGAAGAGAAAGAATTAGGTAAGAATCAGTCAATCCTGCTTGAGCTGAAGAATGTAGAGATTGGCTTAAATTTTAAAGATCATGCTATTGATGATTTTGCCATTTGACAGTAGGGCAGAAGATGTGACAGCTGGCAGTCAAGAATGCAAATGTATTTATTTCAAATGATAACTTATGTTTCTGTAGAAGATGATTATACTAGTCCTGGAAATAATACCACTTCTCTAGAAAAAGTGATCAAGTATATATTTTAGGTCTGTTTAAACCAGTGTGACAATACCAAGAGGAAAGAATGTAATAAAGAATTTTTTTGTTAAAAGTAATCATATAGTTTCTGTGTTTCTTTGCATATTTGCATGATTCTGTTCTTAAAATGATCAGATCTACGAATTCTAAAATCTGAAGTATTGACATCAATACATGTTACTTTAATTTTATTGTGAGTGGATATGAAATGGAAAGCACGTTTGTGTTCTTGGTTTCCTTTGTAAATAAAGACCCATATAAATTTTTGTTTGTACTTTCATAAGTGCAGAAATAAAACTATAGAAGATATTGTCTTCAAAAACATTTCCTCAGTGCTATTTGTAGTGTTGTTTTAAATGTTTATATTTCTCATATACTAGTGGCTGTATTTCTCATATATTTCATATATATTTATGACTTTAGGAGACATTTCCTAAAGAGCAGTAGTTTCCCATGTAACATGCAGACATTGCTGTTCCTTTTAGAATCCTAACACTTTGTAATACCCTTTCTCAGACAGTTATGACCAGAGTGCATTACAAGCTGTCCAGCTGGAGGATGGAACCACTGCCTACATCCACCACACGGTGCAAATGCCACAGTCAGATACCATTTTAGCCATTCAGGCTGATGGCACAGTGGCAGGTCTTCACACAGGAGATGCTGCCATCGACCCAGACACCATCAGTGCTTTGGAGCAATATGCAGCCAAGGTACACTGAGAGATGTTTTCTCCATCCGTAATGTTTTAGTGTAGCAGCAAAAGCCAACTGTCGTCTAAGAATTAAAATGATAATTAAGAGAGTCTTAGAATCGTAGAAGAGAGAACACCAAATTGTCATGACAGTGCTTCACTATAGTGAGCAGCTCCAGTGCGTAGTGTTGTGGAAAAAAGAAAGAGTGAATGCTGAAGTCAGACCAATTTGGAAAGCAATTTACATAGCTAGATAATAATCTTCTCTATAATACAGCATTGCAAAGGAGCCTCTTGAAAGGACATTGGGAAGAAGGACAAAGTTAAATTATACTTGTTAGCCACTATTGCTGGATTTCTTTTTTTTCCCGAATGGGAAGAGATTGGCCTGGTGGGCAAGGACAACATATGGTATGAAGCGTAAAACAGATAATTGACAGTTACTGAGTTTGGAAAAAACTTCTTTGATCCATATTTTCAATAGTAAAATGTAATATGATGCTCAAAATTCATGCTGTTTGCTTACTGGTCTTCTGTAAAGCATGATGTAAGTATTGTAATGGGTGACGCAACTTCAGGACTATAGTTTAGCGGTGTCCCAGTTGCTAGATAGTGACCATCAGTGCTTATATTGCTCTGGAAGAAGAGTAGAATAAATTTTAAAATCTGTCTTCTAGTGTCACTGAGAATTGTCAAATCCTGGGAGTAGGCCAGTTAGGATAATTAAATGGCTTATGCACTATTCTTTCCATTAGGCTTCTGTCTGTTACAATTGAGAGATCCTAACACAGCCAGTCAAATTGTGTTGTGTTTGACTATGCCTTAACATTTCATAAAATAAAAGATAATTCAAGGTTAGTTGAACTGTAATGACAAGCTTTTACACATTCTGTAACTACTGTTTTGTTTAGGTTTAAATCAGTCATAACTTTGCCCTTCTTAACCAGCAACTACATTAATCATAATTTCTGATAAGTTTCTGTTTTGAGAAGGTGAAAAAAAACCAGAAGAAATGCAAGTAAATTTGCATTTTTGCCCTATTTATCCCAGTATGTCTTTTTTTTAATTCTGTAATGTGAATTTGTTTTCTGTAGTGCACTTGTGTCTACGTTTAGGAAAAATTCTATTTATTTTATTTAAACTTTCATCTCAGAACTTTATTCTGAAAGGTACTGCTCGAACCTCTGGAGAAAGTCAGTAGAAGTGAGTTTCCAAGTACTACACCTGGTTTACTTACAAAAGCAAATAATAGCTCACTGGTCACAACCCCAAAAGGAGAATCGTAGTTTTGGGGTTCTACTCCATGTCTCTGTACACTTCACAGTGAGGCAATGTGCACTTTCCATAGCAGCTTTTCAATGTTATAGACACATTGAAAAAGGTATGGGAAGAAATTAAATACATGAGGTAAGTGTATGATAGAATTTTATAAAATTTTAAGTGGCACAAAGAAGAGTAGTGACTTGTCATTGTCTGTACCAGCTTCAGAACTGGAAACATCAGATGAAACTCTCAGGTGATGCGTTCAAGAAAAACAAGGGAAGAATACTTTTTCAAAAAGCACAAAATCAAGCCATGGCACTGCTTGTAGGATATTGTGGATACTAATATATCCCTGGATTCAAAGAGTAATTAGGTAAATTCATAGAAGAAAAATGTGTCCATGGCTATTAGTTGGGAACATGTGACTTCTGGTTCAGGAAGTTCATAAGCCGCAAATTGCTTGGAGGTTGGAAGAATATTTTAGGGAATGCATCACTACATGCTTGGCCTGTTCGTTTAGTATTCTCCCGCATCTGCTACTGGCTGCTGTTGGAAGTGCACTAGTATAGCCTTTAATTTGACTCACTGTAGGTGTTGTGTTTTTAATTGAAGGCAGACTAAATCTTTCTTTAGAATATAAGACAGTCTTTTAGGAGGAACTCAAAGATCTGCCTTGGAATCCTTCCAGAATTCTCACAGTATGGCAAAAGAGAGGTTAAAAATTGGGTGTCTTTTTTTTTTTTTTAAGGTTTTCTTTTCAAAACTTAAAAGGGCAAAGAAAATTTTAAAGGCAGGTTGGAGAGTGGTGGTTCTTCTGTCTCCCTGTCCTACATAACAGGCAGAAACAGCAAAGATCAGTGGGCTGCCCAGAATCAGTACAGAAACTATAAGAGAGTTCATACAAAGAGGTCCAAGGAGACTACACAGAAGCTCACTGGAAGTGGTGGAATATGTACATTTTTCATTGCCCCTCACTTCTCCTTCAGACATAGTACTACTTGCCCACATCTTGCAAAACACATGCAGACTTAACTATACTCTTAATTTTGGGCTGAGTCAATGCCACCTTCCTTCCAAAGCAGCCAAGGAAAAGAGATCCTTGCTCTTGTGAACATAAAGTCAGGAGGTATGTGATAGAACTGTGAAGAGGTTACAATACATACTATCCTTGCATAAACTCTTTTCCTGCAACATTATGGCTGCTGGCAAAGTACAGTTCCTGGGATTTGTGCATGTCTCCGCATATGCATGCACGTTCTGTTTGGATCATTTGTTTCCAGTGGCATTTATGAAGTTCTAATTTCATTTCAGCAGTTACTTTCTCAACCAACAACAGGAGGTTCACCATGAAGTAATTTAAGTCTCCTTTCTGTGAAGGTTCTCTCCCATGCCTTTAAAAATTCCACAGGAGAAGGTCCCAAAATGGCTATTGTTTCCTCTAAAAAAAACCACCCAAAAATTACCTGCTTTCAGACTGTTTGCAATCTCTTTGTAATGTAAACTTGCCTCTGCTTGGGCACTTTCCTCTTCATTGTTTTACCTTGAAGTTCCCAAGAGTTTATTGCTCACAATTGTCTGATTTAGAGAGATAGTACAGTCTGAAAACCTTCTTATGGGACAAGTTCATCTCCCATCTCCAGGCGAACTGTTGGTACCTGATGCTTTGGGCATCAGCTTTACACAACCACCAGCATTCTCAGGAGCCTGCTCTGGCCTCCTTATGGAAAGGCCATGAGCATCCCAGCTGAGGTAGGGTTCCTGCCAAACTGTTTTAGGGATTAAAAAAATCACTTAGACTAAGTTTAAGTGCATTAATCTTGGTCTTGAGTATAATGGATGCAGAGAGTATTGTGAATGCCTGTGCTTAATACAGAGGCAATTAAGGAATGGGAAACTATATAAAGTATACTTTAATTTTTTCTACAGTGACTACTAAGACTGTTCTTTGAGTTGTTGCATGTGAGAGAGTTGGGGTTTTTTTAAACTGAGTAATTATGTTTTTATTTAAATAAAAATGTCACATTAACATCTAATATTCTTTCAAATATTTTTATAATCTCCTAGGAAAGCAGCAATACCTTTCTTCTCCTGTAGAATGTTTTTAAAAACAAACCTATAGAGCACTACATAAGTCCTTGCTTAGCTGTTGTAATTTGACTAGTTCAAATTGAGATGTAATACATATTGTCTTAACTCCTTTGGAATCAAATTACCTGTGCTGTTCAAAACAAGTAATTTCTGCTTAATAGGGAGTGAGATAGATCCTTATGAAGGAATAAATGTTTTCTTTTTTTTTTCCTGTCGGAACTTAGTATTGTTAAATTCACAAAATTTATAAGACAGCTTTGATGCACTCCCTTTGCCTGTCCTGTAATGCAGGTGCTGCATGTGTTGATTTTAGCTTTATGACAGCTAATGTACTACAGGATCACCATGTTTCAAGAGGGAGCTAGAGAGCTATGAAATAATAAGCCTTCAGGATCCATCTGTAACCCTCTGTCTTTCAAATGAGTAAAAATAACCTGTAAATGTTTTTCCCATTTCAATTTTGTTTTTCAGGTGTCTATTGATGGAAATGACAGTGTCAGTGGCACAGGAATGATAGGTGAAAATGAACAAGATAAAAAAATGCAGGTATGTGCCCAATACAAAATAAGTCTATTAATTTCTTCTGTCTTCTCTGCCCAGCAAGGTGCATGATAGGTAGTCCTGTAGCCATGAATTGGGGTCTGCTGCTACTCCTCAGGAGTTTTAGATCTCAAACCTGTACAGATAGATTATATTCTCTCACTTTGCACAAGATACTGTCACAAGATTTTAAAAAGATCATCTAATACTTACTGTTTTCTAGGGGTTTTTTTGTTAAAAGGTAATTGATTTCTAAGATTTTTCAAGCTGACTTGGGTATTTCATCAGTAAGAGTGTAAGTATTTTGGAAGTTCTTTTCCAGAGAATGAACTGACTTTTGACAGTATTTAAAGCAGAAAGAATGCTGTCTCAATTAATTACTTATTTTCTTCTCAAGAGAGACCATTCCAGGCATATGTCTGGAACTGTTCTCTCTTTGATGACTTATTTTGATTCCACTTGCCCTGTTAGGGTCTCTGACTTTCATTGCAGTTTTATAAGGAATCAGTAGATAAGAATGTTGTTCCTAGTGAATGCTTAAAGAAGCAGAAAAATACTTCCATTTCTTATTCTGGATTCGTGTTGTTAGTACATAGAAATATAAAATCCTTTTGTGTAAAAAGATTATCTTAAAAGTTCAAGGGGTAATAGAAAATACAGGTGCAACTTTGTAAGTCTCAAGCTGGTTTCTTTTCCCTGGGATCCTTAAAATTATGTATTTGGCATAATATTTTATTAAAGGAAAAGACAAAGCAAAATGTATTTTGGGCTTCAAAGAGTTATGGCCAACAGCAAAAATAGTACTAAAACCTCTACACCCTCACATGTTCAGATGACAAAATCAAAACTGGAAAAGTCATTGCATTGAGAAAGGTTTGCCCAGAGAAGCCCCATCTTTCCTTTTTGTTTAATTTAAGAAATAATGAACTAGATAAGGAGGAAAAATATCTTCCAACATAAAATACAGTATCTGTGATACAAGTTAGGTTCCACAATATTTAAAGCTGCACACGCTCTACTTTTGCCTGTGTGGCACGACTGTGGAAAGAGAGAATACCTAATACATGCATTATTTACTGTATCTTACTGTATTCCAGAAAATAAAATTAAGAAATTCAGAGGGTTTGCACACTTGTAGGTTGGAATAGGGATACAACCCCAATAAAAGGTAAAATTCAAGGACGAGTAAGATAAGATCTTGGTTGGTTTTAACTGAAAGTAAGAGCCTATGAAGCAAAATTACCTGTGACTAGAATCCACTTAAATGTTGATTTTGGCCTCAGCCCCACACAAAGTAAATCTAAAGGTTGTTTTATCTTAGACATGTGTGGCAACATATGTGCCATATGGAAATGTGCCAATCTTATGGAGCATTATATGTTCCAAACAAAAAGAGATCTAGTATTTCAAAAGGTATTGAGGCTTAGTCTCAAATTCTGACCCATATAAGGTGTCTTCAGTTGGCCAACTGAAGGGGCCCAAAGCTATCAATTATGTATGAAAATACAAATAATGTTTATATCTTGATTTAAGTAGATACCTACTTGTAACTCATTCTGAATTAATATTACTTGGGATAAAATAGACTCATATTTACACGTAGAATTAAATAGATGTATATTTATAAACTTTTAAAGTCCAGAGGTAACAGCTGTAGTACTGCTAAGCAGTCATTTAGACTTGCATGTGGTTAGTGAGGTGTTTCACCAAAGAAAAAAGCATAAACCCTCTTTGTGATTTCTACATGTGGAAAAAAAAGACTCTATGTGCCCAAATGGATATCCTACACTATTTCAAGTCTGTCATACCCATCTGTTCGTAATACAGACTTTGGTTATATGATTCTGCTTTTACTTATGCAGTATAAAAATCTTACCTGAGCTCTTTGTTACCTTTGTTTTTCTCCTGTGTTACCTATCTGAACTCAGGATGCATTTGTGATCTCTTAAAAATAGGGGGTTTTTAATTCTGTGTATTTTAAAGTATTTTGAAGCACACAGTTCCTCTCAGTAAGTTTCACGTTATTATAAAGGTGCTTTATTTGCTACATTCTTCTGACTTTGTGCCTCCTAACATCAGAATTTTTTAGTTTCCCTAATGTATTGTCTTTTAAGAACAGTAATTTTAATACTATATCTGTTCTTGTTGAATGATACTAACTGAATTCTTAATAATGCTCGAGTCATAGCAACTAATGTATTGTGAAGAAAACACATACTTCTGCAAACAGTTGTTTGAACAAACCAATGCTCGTAATGTTAAACTGATTTTTTTCCTCAGTGTTCTGTTTGATACAAAGAGGGGGAGAAAGAAAACAATCTTAACACTGGTAAAATTATATCTGGTTATTTCCTTACAGATATCAGCACTATAGAATTGTTTTCATTTTCTTTTAAGCTTTGGCATACTTCAGGTTTATAGCAGATCTCCGCAAGTATTTACATATTTTACATGCTGAAACAACTAAGAAATAGTAGTAGGTTTACTGATAGAAAAAACAAATCACTGCTTCAGTGCGGATGCTTTTTGATCCTTAATATATTGAAGTGACTTCTGTGATTCATGCATCACAGGTTAAACAATAGTATTAATAATGAGTTTCTTGATTCAGTAGGTTTTGTTTTTCTCCATGTTCCAGAGAAGCTTTTCTGAAGTGATGGAGTTGAACGTTTCAGTTGATTAAAAATTTTATATATAACTTTGCTTCCTTAGTCTTAAGGACAGTCTAAAGGTAACAGGGGGTATCCCATCCTGTCTGAAGAATCTGTAGGAATATTGTTCCCAATCAAATCTCTGATCTATCTGAATGAGGAAATAGAGGTTGATGTGCAGTTGCAGGGCTGCAGTCTTGCTGAGATGAGAGGGATGTGGTGGGAGAATTCAGACAACTGAAGTGCTGTGATGGATGGATCCAGGCTCTTTAATAAGGCCAGGTGGGGAAGGAGAGAAGCGAGAGCTGCCCTTCATGTTGGAACAGCAGGACTGCAGAGGGCTCTGCTTTGGGATGGGTGATGGGTCAGAATGACCAGCATGGGTGGGTTGTGGTGGTTGTGGTCTGCTACAGAGTCCATGGTCAGGAAGAACATGAGGCCTTCTTCAGATAACTGGAAGAAACCTCATGTTCACAGGCCCACGTCTTCATGGGGAATTTTAACAACCTCAGTATCTGCCAAAGGGCATCACAACAGGGCACATGAAATCCAGGAGGATTCTGGAGTTCAGGGATGGCAACTGGCAATCTAAAGGAGGTTACAGAGCAGCTGGCAAGGTGAGAGACACTTTGCCAAGAAGAATTAGTTGGGAATGTGAAGGCTGGGGGCTGCCTTCAGGAGTCTCCATCCTTAGAGATACTTGGAACCCATTTGGATACTGCTGTGAGGAACTTGCTGCAGCTGACCATTCTTTGAGCTGAAGGTGTTGTCTCCTCATCCATTCTGTGCAATGTTCTTTTGTACAGTTCAGAATAGAATTGGATCCATAAGAAAAGGGAGGTGGTCTAATAGGGCAGACCTTTTAAAATAGTCTCAATTACTTTGCATACAGTTGTATCAAAGTGCTTACATTTGGGCTTCTGCCTCTGTTCAGCCTGTATGAAAGGTTCTTGCATGTCAGTGTAAGCCTTTAAAAGGGGTTTAAGTTGCCTCCTGAAGCTATTCTGTCTGTTTTCCTATTGTGTCATGCCAGAAGGGAGAATAGAACCTAGCTCAAATTGCTCCAATTAAGTTTGATCAAAATACAGGCATTGCGGACCAAGGACAGAATGCTTTCCTTCATTTTCAAAAAGTGCTCATTATAAGTGCATTTAATTTAAATTGACCTTTCCATGAACTTTATCTTTGAAGGTGGTCTGATTTATGGCTAATCTCCCTTAGGAACAGGTCCAGTGCCTTAGATGTAATCTAAGATTCTTCTGTCTACTCATTTGGTCATTTTGCCTCTGTCTTATTTTTTAAATTATTTTGTCTTTGCTATTTGGCTAATTAATGCAAGCATTTAAATTTGCTAGCTACAAGTATGTTTTACAGTTTCTCTCATCAGAATTTATGCTTTTCAGTTATTTATTTCTAGTTAGTTTATTTATTATGGACTAAGAAATATGTGCCACAGCAAAGAGAAACAAAAGAAACCTGTCATAATCAGCTCTGGCTTGATAGCAAAATAAAGTTGTGTGACTTCTCTGATCCATTTTGGTTGTTGGGTTTTTTTTAGTGTGTGGTTTGATTGGGGTTTTTTTGATTTCTTTTTTTTATTTTTACCTTAAGATTGTCCTGCAAGGACATGGAACAAGAGTGACTGCAAAATCTCAGCAGACTGGAGAGAAAGCCTTTCGCTGTGACTATGATGGTTGTGGCAAACTGTACACAACAGCTCATCATCTTAAGGTGAGGAGATGTACAATGGGCATTGTTACTTTGTAGACACGATTTTTTTGGAAAGCTTTTGGTTAACAGTAATGGAAATGAACAGAGAGCCAGTTGCAATGGGGCTGTTTTGTCAAATGTTTATTGGATTGATTTTACAGGTTTATTGGATTGATTTGTCTCAGGTGCTCAGCTGATTTTACTTAGTGTTCTGGGTAGATGCAGGTGTGGGATCATGTTAAGCCACTCTATTGCCATAATATAAGAAATCACTTGTTGAGATTGTTTCCACCAGCATTGTCACAATAATTCTGGAATCCAGTGTTCACTTTATCAACTTTTTTTATCATGTATGCATGATCATGCAAAAATTCTATTTTTTTAAATATTTCACCATCATAATACAAAGTCTGGCTCTTCAAAATGATCTAACATTCAAAGTGAAAAGCTGGAGCATCTTTTCTTTACAGATGGCAACTCCTTAATACTCTTCCTTTTTTAAATTAAGTAAAGGGACTACTGAAACAATAAGGGTGTAGAGCTGTTCCGGTTCCAGCTGAGGCTGAGGTAATCACTTGCTGATGAGGTAATCTCTTTGCAGTGCTGCCTTGTCTCTGACTAAATAGAGGAGCCAGTGAGTAGCTGACTCTATGGATCACGTGCTAAAATGGTGTCCTTGCTGCAGAGGTTTCATGCAATATAAGAGGATCATTGGAAGCATTCAGTGGAGGCAAAAATCAGATAGAGAGTGGGCTCTGAGGCATGTTTGCATATTGCCTTTAATGTAGATACATGATGGCAACTCTGCCTGTGTTTACAGAAGTGTTTTGTGCAAAACTGACTGGAAGGATCAGCTTAAACTTTGGAAAGAGACATCTTTAGTTTTAGGGAAAACATTGTTACCATATTTCATTATTTTTCATCACTGATATAAACAGACACTTGAATGTGAATCTTAGGAAGAAAAATAAAACATGTTGACTTTGAGAATGAACTGTTTCTGCGCTGAAGTAACCAGATACGTTTCATTAAGTCTCTGTCTTGGATGTCAACAGGTGCATGAAAGGTCACACACAGGAGACAGACCGTATCAGTGTGAACATCCTGGATGTGGCAAAGCCTTTGCAACAGGTGAACTTTTGTAGACTAGCTCCTCCTACTTGTTACTGTTTGTCTCTGAATAAACTAAGATTTTAGTATTGCCTTTTTAATCTGCTAAGTTGGTTGGCAGAACTGCAAAAAAAAGTAATCTTTTCAGCTAGTGTAGCACATAGAAATGGCAGAGAATGTAATTCTTAGTTACTGAAGGAGGAATGAGATGAAACACTCAACACTTCCCTTACTCTTCACCTGTTACATTACAGTCAAATTTTAATGTTGAAAAATAGACCTTTCTTAATGTTTAACTAATAGCAAAAGTTAAACGGGGTGATAATAGAAAGCTGTTGGCTAGAGGTAGATTCATGATCTTCTGATCTAAATTTGAAAGGGACTTTGATGGAAGATGCTGGTTTAAGTTTTCTTTACTGAATTCGTATCAGAATGACATCTCATGAAGTGAACTCTACATTTCATACAGACTGCTCTGTTCATAAATGATGCTCTTCCTGAGATTGAATTTGATCGTGCAAAATGCAATTATGAAGAAGGAAACAAGGAAGAAAGTGGGAGAGCAAGTCTTGTTTCAAATTTTATTCTTTTTCTTTGAATGTAAATTAGTATGTTGCTTAGAAAAGTTAGGCTTTTTTTTTAATAAGGTTTTTTAAAATAAATTCATGTGATCTAATACATTAATGCTGGTGAGAAAGGTCAGAAGAGAAACAACCACACTTACAGAACTGCACCTTTAATTGCATTGTGTTGGTAAAGGGATTTCAAAACTACACAATGAAATATTCTCTTTTGCAACAGACTGTATGGCTATAAACAGCTATTTTCTATAACTACCATATTTTTGGTCAGAGCTGTTGTACCACTGTAGTTCAGCAATCTTCGCCTTTGACAAAGTTCACTTGAATTACTGAATGCTCTTGGTTTAAATATGAAGCACTCTCCTGGGTTGGATCATGAAATTGAGTTCATTTTACATGTAAAGAGTCAATTAATGCTCAGCTTGGTACACATGCTTTGTGTTTTTAAGAACATCAAGAATAGGAATTTCAGTTGTTTTTGGGAGAACACGTTGTGAAATTAAAGCAAATGCCATTTTCTTACAGACTTTCTTTATTTTGTAGAAATATACACATCATTTGTGGGTACAAGTAAAATTCAGGTTTGTTTTCTAAAATGGCTGTTTCAGGCTTCTTTAGTCATTAAATTTTCAGGAAAGTGCTGAAAGGAAAATCTTGGTAAAATGCTCATTGCAAAATAATCTACAGAGGGCCTGATCCAAAGTCCACTTTCAACTGGTAGAGTTTTGGATGATGATGAGTTCCTAAAAGTTATTTTAAAGGGAATGAATGTCTGTGCTATCAGTTAGCACCTATATATGTGCTTTTACTGCTGACTTCATGAGTGGTACTGCTTTTTCTGTGAGCGAATGTCATTTTGGTGACAGTAGTGGGAAGAGGTAAAAACTAGATGGAATGCAGAGCACACAGCTTCCTCAGAAGGCAGAATAAACATTTGTCCACATTATAATGATTACAGTTTATCCTTCTGAAGGGAAGGAGAAGCATTATGGAAGTGTATTTTCTTCACAAATGAAGGATGAAAGAATTTCTAAACTGTTATCTGGAGTTTTGCTGCTCTGTATGGTAGAATGAAGAGCTTGTGAAGAATGAAAGCGCAAATTTTACTCATCATCCAGTTTCCTGATTGGAATGGCAAGCGCAGGTTTTGATGGTGATGGTTTATGAGTATCCTAATTTTGTGTTTACACCACTATAACATCCTTTCTGATCTTCAGGGTATGGGTTAAAAAGTCACGTTCGAACACACACGGGTGAAAAGCCTTATCGGTGCACAGAAGAAAATTGCACTAAATCATTCAAGACTTCAGGAGACCTGCAGAAACATATTCGAACCCACACAGGTACTATTATCACTCAGTACTTTTCTGTTAATTCACTGAGGTGAGGGGTTTTTTTCTGTTTCCTCATTTTGTGACTTTATACTTACAAAATCAGCCTGTGTGTATTCTCTTTTTGAAGCCCAGTGAGCTCAACAGCATTTCAGCATGGTAAGCATTTACTGCAAATCCAGCATGCTTTTCTTGGAAAAAGTGCCCAAGCATTCACACTGCTATTGTAAATGCACTAACTTTAGCAATGCCTCACTTAAGTTGTCACTGAGTCACTTGTTGCCTTTACAGTTTCATCTGCAGCTGTAACAGAACAAGGAACTTTCCTCAATAATATGTCTCACCTTTTTGAAATGCCATCAGTGTTCTTCAGGTTTGGTGCTTTAATACAACTTGCATGCCAGCTTCATGAAGGTTGATACTTCTGAGCTTGTTATCCTGATTTCCCTTCTCTTTATGCAGCAGAAAAATGAACAATGACATCATAGAAAACCAACTGTTAATAAAGCTTCCAAATGCATTAAAAAAAAATCTTATAGTTTTTCCAAAAAGATTCATTTGAAAGGCAAAACATAAATATAGACAGCATACACTACAACTCTGCAAAACTCTGTGGGTGCACTCATGTAAAAAAGCTTGCACAATGTCTACTTTGCTCCTGAGATCTTAAAAAAACCCAAAACAACCCTTAAATCTAGGAAGAACAATCAATCACTTGCTAGCCTATACCATGAAGTATATTTGTCTCTGCTAGAACAGTGACAAGTTTTTCCACTGCACATTCTGAATCTTAGTGAGTAAAGAAGAAAAAACAAAAGAAATAGTTGGGCTTTTTTCTCAGATTAAAAGATCAACATGGGGAGGTGGGATGTAAATGCAGGCAATAAAAATTGTAAAACCTACAGATTACATTACAATATTTCTTGTGCTTTCTTGAGCTTCTATATTCAAAGACAGTCTGTTGGGATTAATGCTGTCTTGATGTTAAATTGGTCATCAGGATGAACATCTCAGTTCTAGAAGAGAACTGTGGATCTTGTGTACTACATCAAGTACAGACTGTGGACTGAAAAGTTTCTGGAGTATGGACAACTTGATTAGCTGTAGACTTTTTTTTTTTTTACTTCTTTATGGCCACAGAAGTTGTGTGGTAATTTAATCTCTTTAATTTAATTAGTAGTTGAGGCAACACTTGAGCCAGCCTTATGTAACCTACCCACTTGAACAATATGAATAATAGAATCATAATCTCCCACCAGTCCAGGGACTAGAGTGCAGGAGTGTCTTTTTTTAGATTTCTGAATAGTTTGGGGAAGCTAAAGAATTACAAGATTTTGCGCCAAGTCCTTTGTGCAGATGGATGGAGCAGTGTATGCTCATGCCCTATGCAAGGTGCAGCAGTGCACCCGATGGAGGCAGGTCTGGGCTCTCCTACTCTCTCCCATGGCTCTGAAGCCTTTTCCTTCCTTTATCAGGCAGATTGGGGTTAGTGCTTTCTTAATTTTCTGCCTCTTTTAACCAAAAGTGATTTTTTCCCTCTCTTTGAGTAGCAGTCCTGTCTCACTTTCTGTGCCATCAAATGCTTGCCTCGAGTTCCTCGGTGACTTCCCCGGGCACACAACTCGGGGATCAGAGAAGCTGCTGTGGATGGTACCTCATGCTGCAGTGGGGTAGAGCTTGAAGGCTTCGGACTTGCTTTGCATTTCTAGTACTGCAATTCTCGGTCACCTGGAAACAGGTCGCTTTGCTAACTAGGACATTAGAAACTGAAAAGGCTGCCTTCTCTGACCGGTCGGGTGACATTCCTGCGGGCATTCTTTAAAAGCACTTTGTTTTCGTTTCTAGCGTAGGGTCTGTTGTTGGGCGGGGTTGGCTCTGCACCTCTGCTCCTTTCAGGCATGTTTGAGGTCCTGGCAGAAGCAAGGCTTAGGGGAGTCATGGTAACACAACACTGAGGCGTGTGTGCGTAATACACATGCTCTGCCTTGGCAAAAGCTTGGAAAACCTTCCCGAAACAACTGCCTGAAGGAGTGAATAGGAGTTTCCTCTGCCAAGGAGTTAACTGCTTTGGAGTTTTGTGGTATTAGTGTCTCTATCAGGACTTGTTTTTTTATTTCTGTCTCTAAGTACCTATTGTTGTATCTGCAGTGGTATTCTGCCCTCTCTTGCTCTTGGATTCTTCTCTTCGGTAAGCAGTACAGTGGGTGGAACGTACTTAGCATTAGAAGTGCTGAGGTGCACGACAGCCTGTCAGGTGGCTCGAACTTCTCCAGACTTAACCCCCTTCAGTCTCCCTCTCTGTGTCCTTTAATAGATCTGAAGGGTCAGGGGTATTGTGGTGTTAGTGGTTGGCCTTGTCTGGTGTTCACAGTGAAATGTTCTGGTGCAGGGTTGTAAGTTATTGTGCTTAAATTTATATTACATTATTAGACCTACTTTAAAAGAATCTGTATTTGTGATTGCTTTGGTTTTGGGGTTTGAAACTTGAGTTTCATGGCTGTCTCTCTTTATAAAGTTTATTCTTCTCAGTTAAAGTTAAGTGCTCTCTAGAGTTAGTTTTATTTACCCATTTTCATCTTGGTTATATGTTAAACCATGAAGGGTTTTTTTCATTTCATGAACTAACAATTGACAAATGTGCAAATGGTATGATACACTTGTTTTGGATAATATAGGTATGAATTGGGGAGGGTATTAAGTACTTGTTAGAATACAGACGATGTGGAAGCTCATCAAATCAACTGAGTCTGTTTTATACATTATAAAGTAGTAATCTAAATGCTTCATAATTTAGCTTACAGACTGTATAATTTTCCCAAATTTTGCCTGTTTTGGCTAAACCAGAATACTTCACAGTGGCGTGTTCATGGTATTTCTGACTGAGGATCTCAACGATAGAATTGGTAGCTTTGGATTCCTACATTCAGTCTAAGTGTAACTGAGTATTTTTGTTCTTTTATAACTTTTGCATATGTACCTTTTCTTGTCTTTTTTTTTTTCAGGTGAAAGGCCCTTTAAGTGTCCCTTTGAAGGATGTGGCAGGTCATTCACAACGTCTAATATTAGAAAGGTTCACATCAGGACACACACAGGCGAAAGGCCTTATTACTGTACAGAGCCGGGATGTGGGAGAGCTTTTGCCAGTGCAACTAATTATAAGAATCATGTGAGAATACACACAGGTATGTGAGTGATGCTTTGTATTTTGAAGTGGAATCTGCTTGGGAGAGGCTGTCATTCTCCTTGTGAACAATGTTTTGGTGTGTTGTAATTGGGTATAGTCATGTTCATATGACCTGGCTTGGTGCTTCTCTTTGGGTCTCCTCTCCCCTCAGCTGAGGATAGTTAAGCAGTTAGGTTTCCCACCTTGTTGTCAAGGCAGAATAATTTTGGATTGGATACAAAGTTTTTTAAAACATGCAAAACCTTGTCTTCAGTAGACATTGGGCTAAATCTTAAATGTGGTTCTGGGGCTTGCGTCACTTGTGAACTGTTTCATAAATAAATAACAGTAAAGGGCAAGTCTGAGCTTTAACTTTGGCTCACTGTTATGAGTCACTCTTTCATCCCAGCTGTGTTTTCCATGCTGCTGAAACTGTGGTCAAAACTTCCTTTTTATAGACTGGAGGTGAAAATACTTACCCAACGTGATTTTCAGGGTTAGTTGACAGAAAAAATCACCACAAATTTGAAGATTTTAAAATGTAAAAGCCTGTAATAGCCATATCATCTTGGTAGCATTATGTATTTTATAAAACACAGGCTTCCTAGATCTATGTTTTGTATCTCAATTTTTATTTTAACTTTACAATGTAATTTAGACATTTGTTTCATTGATTTTTAAATAAAAGTTGTTTCTATGTGAAACCATAATTGTTTAAACATATGCTTCCTGTAGATTTCTTCAGAGCTTCATAGACTCAAAAGTAGGTGATACTACTAGTGAATGGACATACCTGATCATTGAGGAAAAGTGTGGGGTTTCCAGTAATAAAAGAAAAAAGTTCTCAATAGAATGGCAAACTGACATGGCAGCTTTCAGCCTGTATCATTCTGTCTTCATCAGAAGGATGTTTTAGATGGGATGAAAGAGGGAAAAAAATGGGCCCAAATTGTACTGGCAGTAGTTTTTAAAAAAAGGCAGTAAGAGATTGCATTGGTAAACTTTGTGAGGATGAGCTTCACTGTTGCCTTTGAAATAAAAGTATGGTTGGTAATTAAGGTGCGTCACTAAATATCATTTGCTGGCAAATTTTTTCTGTGTATCCTGGATAAAGTTCTCTTTGTCCCTTTTGTTTTCCTGTATAGGGGAGAAGCCTTACGTCTGCACAGTTCCTGGTTGTGATAAACGTTTTACAGAGTATTCCAGTTTATACAAACATCATGTTGTACACACTCATTCCAAACCCTACAACTGTAATCACTGCGGGAAAACCTACAAGCAGATTTCTACTCTTGCTATGCACAAGCGGACAGCACACAATGACACTGAGCCCATTGAGGAAGAACAAGAGGCTTTCTTTGAGCCACCTCCAGGTTAGAATTTCAGTCTTCAGTTCTCTTGTTTTAAAAAAAATGGGCTGGATATTATTTTTCTGGGGTTTTCAATAACCAAGGAAATTAAAGCATAGATAAAAATTGGAAGTACTTAATAAAGACATCTTAATTTCTCTGTAAGACTTTAGTGTGGTAGGCAACTTGTAAACAGAAATTGAGAGAGTAATTGATCAGATAATAAACTCATTTATAGCAGTCCTGGGGATAAGAGAGAAATTTGAGTCGCAGTCTCAGCAAACCTGCAATAAACATGAATGTGGAAAAGGGACTGAGAAAATCTAAACTACATTGATTGCAACCTACTGGATTTTTCTAAGAGTATATATAATGCCATGGTCGGTGACAGTCTTTTGTGCAGGAGTAAAGGGTCTGCCTTGATGAAAAAACATTGTTTTTGCAGCAGGCTGATAGTGTGCTGGTTCTGCTGTGGTTTATAGGAGTTCTGTGAGGTGTCCTAGAGGCAGAGATGAAAATAAGCTTCTGTGCTGCAGCACCCCTCAGAGTATGTTTTTCATGGTATCATGAGTATTGAATCCTATGACTATAAAAGATGAGACCAAATAAGGTTCTCTGGCAGGAAAAATACCACTCGTCAAATGGTGATATTTAGATGAGACAGAATATCGGAAGTGTTGTTTTGGCTAGAAAAGTTGTTTTGTCATGTGTTCCTGGGAAACTGCACTGAATGCCTCAAGAAGATTTGGTATAGCCTAATTTCTTCTCTTAAAGGAATGATAAGATTCATTTGCTGAGGTTAAACATTTCTTATGATAATGAACTTACTTAAATCTCCACACAAAGGTATCTCTGTGTTCTTCTGTATGTTCGTTAATTAATAACTTTTTTTAAAAAGCTTTCAGTTGTGTTTGCATGAAGTCCCTTGTGTGGAGAAGTTAACATTTAATGATAATTAAATTAGGAATGTTTGCCACCATTTTAATATTTGCTTATAAGCTAAATGTATAGTTTCTTCATATGTAGTATTTATGTGTGTAAAAAATCATTGCTAGAAGATTACATCCCGTGTTCCCAAAATAACAGACTTTCTGACTCGTTTTTGGTCTCTTTTATTTTTCTCATCTTTCCACTAAATTTTTCCATTGGAGTGTTTAAAAACTTCAAATCAAGCTGGGACTTAATCCTTGTCATTTGCTTTCGTGGCAGCATTTAGAGTATGTAAACTGTCCTTTTACCTTCTTTGTCTCAAATAGGTCAAGGTGAAGATGTTCTCAAAGGCTCCCAGATAACCTATGTGACAGGGGTAGAGGGAGAAGATGTAATTTCTGCACAGGTTGCTACCGTTACTCAGTCAGGATTAGGTCAACAAGTGGCACTAATATCCCAGGATGGAACCCAACATGTAAGTAACCACAGTGTTTGAGGCTGACAAAAATAAACTGAGAGCTGAGGCACGTGTTTGCAGATTCTCGATAAATATGTACATGGGTTTCTTAAGGAAAGAAGCTTCTTTGGAGCTGCATCAGGATATATTTAGTGTTGTGCCTCCTGTGGGATACCTAAATGAAACCACATATTCTGATATGTGAAACTATTAATACAAAGGTAGGGGTTTTGTCTATCCTTGATATCTTTGTCACTCTTAATGAGCTGTTTTAACAATTGTCATATATACAACCTAGTTTCTGAGGTTTCTCAGAATTTCCTAATTATGCTATTAATAGATGATGGTCATCTTCTCTGTTGTCTGCACACACTTTGAGGGGCTGAAGGAGTGGGAAGTCTTTCCATTCCAGGTGCCTGCTTTAAAAGCAGTTTGGTAGTGTGCAGTTCTTGCCATTCCTAACATAAGCCAAAGGATAAGGAATGCTTTGTTACCTCCTCCACTTGAAAATTCCTATGGCTGTATTTTTGCAAGGATTCCCATGGATATATATTTTTAAGGATTTCATATGAAAGTTTATTGGGAAGGGACTTCACCACAACTCTCTTGATTCACTACAACAATATACTGAAGGCTTGTGAGGAAAAGTTTTTATCTCAGATGGTAGGGCAGCTGAAATACCAGTAGCATATGAAAGATAGATTCTGAATTCAAACTGAAAATGAAATATTCAAGGGGGCTGTTACATTGCCAGCTCTGGACATTGCAGCAGTACTGGCATTTTTACCCTCTAAAATAAATGTTGGTCTGCAGAAGCCTTGACATAGAGTTCCTACATTTATTTAAATTATCCTTCAGCTTGACTTCAGTTCTGGGATTTATTGCCTTGTAAAACAGACATCAAATCATGTATCTGATGCCCTAATGCATTTATACTGGAGACATCAGTAATTTAGATCATTTTTATGGATTTATTTTTGGTTCAAATTCTAAGCCTTCATAGGCCTCTTTAGTATTTCCATTAAGGTCAAAGTATGTCAGGTGGTACTACCTTAAATCCCATTGTCCACTGTGTAAGACACATGCATAGATAATCTATCATGCTGTTATTTGGGATATGATGTGATTAACATGGAGTTGTAGACTCTAGGTTTAAGTATGCAACCTCTTTTTTATTACTGGGAGTCAGATTTTTATTGCTGTAAACAGATAAGTGTGTCTGAAAGGTCATGAACTGTTAAATCCCAATGAAGACAAAAACAAGGGCTCTTTGTCACAGATGGGGACTTGGCCAAAGAGTGATGGTGATTCCGAAGGAATGAATGAGCACACTGGTCAGGAAGTGGAATAACGCCTACTAGATCTTTTGGCCAGTTTACTTGAGATCATGGCTTAAAATGTTTTTCCCTGCTGTTGTGAACAAGTTGCCTTTTTCTTCTGGGTTGCTACACACTGTTTCAAATAAAGAAACCGAACTAGCAGGAGTATTCCTGCTGAACCAACTAGCAGGAATTTTTGATAAATGTTGTTAAGGAATATAATTTTTTTGTTTAAACCTTACTTAAAAACATATGTTATTGCCAAAACCTTAAGACACAAGTATGACTTGAGCAGCAACCAAAGCTTCTATTTTTACTTCATGAATTATTTTGTGTTTCAGGTCAACATATCCCAGGCAGACATGCAGGCCATCGGCAATACTATCACTATGGTGACACAAGATGGCACCACCATCACTGTCCCTGCCCACGACGCCGTCATTTCTTCTGCAGGGACACATTCCGTGGCGATGGTTACTGCGGAGGGCACCGAAGGACAGCAGGTAAGAGATCATCCTGCATACATGTGTAATGTTTTCCTTTATGAACTGATATAAAATGGGCATCTAAGCCATCGCAGTTCTGGTGTTCATGTAGATTTATCTTAGTAAAGCAGTTTTCAGCACCTGGCTGTAGCATTCACCCCCTAAGTGTCTGATGTGTTCTACTCCAGTGCTAAACATCAACATATGGCAGAATGTTCATATATTCTGCCAGGACAAAATTCTGAGGTACCAGTCCGATAATTCATTTAGGTGAGTGGCAGAGCTAAGAATAGAATACAGTATGAACTGTATAATTTTATTGCTTAATATTACGGGACTGTAACTTATTTGGCAGATAAGAAAAGTTGAACAGTCACAGGTTTGAATTTAACTGTGAAGACAGTGGTTGTATGAGGTCAGTACAGTACCAGATCTGTCACCCAGCTGATTCTCTTCTTTTGGTCTTGAAGGTTGCCATTGTGGCTCAAGACTTAGCAGCATTTCACAGTGCCTCTTCAGAAATGGGACATCAGCAACATGGGCACCATTTAGTGACTACAGAAACTAGACCTGTTACATTGTTGGCTACATCCAATGGGACACAAATTGCAGTACAGGTAAGATGGGGATAATTGTTTTTGGAGTGCTTCTGCTAGAGTTAGAAGTTACTAGTCACGTAACAAAATTATTCAAGTTAGCTTGGCATTCCTGCAAAAAAATTGGCCATAACCATGTGATCTCATGTTTTAAATAATATATAGGGTTAGGAAGAGGAATAAGCAGCACCTGATTTTCCAAATCTACTTGTAGCATTTCCAAAAAGGGGGGAGGTTAGGGGTGAGTTAAACTTCAGGTCAGCTGAATTGTTCATGGAGTCACAGGTTTTCAGTGGAAATGTGCTTTCATTCATCCTTCAGCTTTACTTATAGAGCTGACACGTATAAAACCAAACTCTCCAGGGTAAATTGCTATGAACTTATAAAATTAGTGAAATTATTTTATTTGAACCTTGAAATGCTAACAGTGAAAAGGTGCAAACAGTTATATAGAAAGATTAACAATCAGAAATCTCTGGAAATAGGGACCTTCTGTGTATGTGCCAAACCAGCACAGTACAAGCAGTAGTCTCTGTAAATAATTCCTCACATTGTTCAAACACTGTAACAAAAAGGTAGTTTCTAGGTATGAAAGCGCTCTTAAGAGCTCAAATTGAAAGGAAAAGTGTTAATATCTTCAAGCAGAAAGGAGAGATTGTTATTTCCTCCTTTGTTAAATGGAAAATAGCTGGTTGAAGAGCAATGAAAATTGAGAAGTGCTGAATTCTGAGCTCTCTTTTGAGCTAAGTTGGCAGTAACTAAAACTGCTTGTAAGAGAAACCATATCAGAAGGCAATTGTTTGCCGGAAAGCAAAGTTGCACTGTCAGCAGTGTGTCCTTTGAATGAAAGGAAAATATAGGCACTCTATGCTAATGCTCCTCTTTTTTACCAAACTGGAGCATTTGGTGAAGTGTCTTTACATTTATTAAACTTAAAATATATAATACAAATAGAAGAGAGAGAATTCAAAATTAAAATATTATTGATTATTCCTGAGGTTTTGATGGGTTTTTCTTTTGTACTCTGATTCTAATAAATTAACCTGTTTTGTTTCTAAATACTGGTAAAGCCAGTAGCCTGATGGTCAGGTAAAGTCCTAACGAGGTGATAAGAGAGGTCTTCTAGATTTGAGTGGCTCCAGAATGTGATATGCAATGACTGTAAAAATAACAAGGGATACTTACAACTGTCCCATTAGGTAAAATAATCTCGTTTTATCTTTCACACTCTCATATGTGTTTCTCCCAGGCCAACAGGTAATGGCCAGCTGTATGTTTTTTTTTGTGAGGTTGAGATTGTCTTCATTGTACCAGTCATGGTTGTACATGCATAGCATCCATATTATAAAATTCCATGGATTCTTTCCCCAAATCATGTCTCCAGTTGTCTTTATTCAGGTTATGTTGCTTCTGGTAGTACCAGATACATTGATGACTTTGTAGTTGCAACAACAAGATAATTTCCTCTTTGAACTACTGTGGAATCAAACAGTGTCATCACAACAGGTTTTTTATACAGTCAGGATTCTGCAGTAAAGACACACTTTTTCTATAAATTACTGTTATACGGTCTTCCAAAGAGCTGACTTTCTGTTACAGAGTTACGAAAAATGAAGATGTTTATTTGCTTTACCAGTGTTAAAATGTAATCCAGCAGCCACCGTGACTTTAGAAAGCCTTGTTTTAGTTTCGTAATATCTGCCAACTTGAAATATCACCTACTTTGTGTGTCGTGAAGCGTGTTTACCTTGGAGCAGTTCTTTGAAGCAAATGTATTCGGTAGATACTTAGTTTAATCTCCTATCAGCAGCTATCTTAATTGTCATGCTGATTAGATAGCTGCTGGTATATATTTACCCTGGAGAGGTGTGACAATACTGATCATGCTTATTTGGGCTAAAATATTGTTTGATATCTAGATCTTTGCTTTCATATCTTTTTTTTTTAATGCATTTTTAATGCATCCATGTATAACACTTTGGATTTACCTATGTTTAAATGCATTTGTTTCAGCTTGGAGAACAACAGTCTCTGGAAGAAGCCATTAGAATAGCCTCCAGAATACAGCAGGGTGAAACACCAGGGATTGATGATTAACTTCTAAAACTGCTATCAGAACAATAGAGTGAAAGGTATTTTATTTTCAATCAGCAAAGGTCCATGCCAGCAGCAAACCATAAAAACTTTGAAGTCACCCACTCACTGATACTGTGTACACATTTTATGCAAGAGTGAAGAACATTTTCTAAGTTTTGTGTACATAACCCTTGGAATGGACTGACATCATCTACTTCCAACCGTTGTATTCAGGAATATGGAATTAGGATTATATAGTAGACTTCCTTGTTATCCTTTCATCAGATTTCAGACTGGTCTACAAGCAAGTGAAAAATAGAAGTATTGGAATTAATTTTTAATGTCATGTACAAATAATGAAGGCATTACTGAAGATTTCAGATGTTTAAATCACCATTTCAGGAACCCTTACAAATAATAAAGGCAATAAAGCCTTTTAAATTGCATTCCATCAATGGAAAAGTCTTGGATTTTGAGCCTACTACTGTAAATCTTCGTATTTTGATTTGTTTCATACAGATTTGAATACTCTTTAGATTATCTACCCCATCTCATTCATTGTAAATACAGACTGTTAATGCTGGAAATGCTAATTATATTATCTTTAAATTGGATTATGTACAAAGGACAAACTGGTTGTTCAATATTAAAGAAAGTAAATCTAATGGTTTTGTTTCTTTACATATTTTACTTAAGATGTTACTCTCAGATTATTATGCAATAAATATAGCAAGATTGTATTGTTTAGGTAGGATGATATTGTTGTGTGACGTATTGTTTTATTTCCTAATGAGACTGAAGTTCAAATTATTTATTTACGGCCTTGTATAAATTTTTCCAAAGTTTATTTATCATAAACTTAATTTTTTGACTTATTAATTTTGATCATAATCCACTACAGTGTGTTAAGTAATTAGTGGTAATAGTTATTTCAAACATTCTAAAACACTACAAGAATGATTTTGACTAAAAAGTAAAGTTGCCCGTTTTCAAGAGAAGTATTTTCAAATGGTGCATTTGCAGCACAAGTACTAATAGTCTATTTTCAACAGTTCTGAATGCCTGCTGCTACCATTCAATACCTAGGATATGCTGATAATGAGTGCTTTTGAAAATCAGGACACAAGTTACTAGAAAAAAGGGATTAATTAATGATGATGTAAGTACAATGCTCGTCTCCAATGATCATTCTGTAAAGGAACAAAAACTTTGTTGTAGATATGTCTTAACACATACAGCAAAATGTAACATTTTTTTTTTATATGAAAAGGTATTTCTACTCTTGTCTTGTTAGTAAGCTGGTTAAGCAAGTTAAAATTTTTTGACTTCCTGTAAGTTCAGTGTTTATTTTAGATGAGTGTCAAGAGCACTCCTGAAACCGAAGCCTCATTTTTTTTTTTCCTTCTCAAGGGAAGGATTAAACATCCTCTGGACAAAGTCTTTATCAAGGAATCACAAGTGTTGTGAGGTGCACATTCTACATGAAAAAATAAAGTCCATAACTCCCTACTTTGAGGTATTTGACCTCAAAAAGGCCAAATTTGAATAGAATTAAGCTGATTAATTGTGAATTACTATATCAGTGTGGGTTGCAGCCTTTTATGTTTTCTACACAGAGGCCAACTGTAAAGTACAGTGAGAGAATACTGTACTGTGGGATAGATGGGGACAAAGCAAAGACTATTCTCTGGATCCATTAGAGAGTACAACTTGGAAACAATTAGGCTGTCTGTAACTTTTGTATAGGATTGAGGCTGCTTGCTCACTTAGGTGCCAGTTTTCCTGAAGTGTTGTAAATCTTGATATCCCATGGAGATAAATGTACTATGCAAGGAGGATTAATTGCCTGTCAACTAGACCAGTTTCTTAGTACTTATCACCTTTTAGAAATTAAAGTTGTATCATTTGACATGAACGTTCAAGGTTCTTTTTTCTTTTTTTTTCCCTTAAATTTCATTGCTAATAGTTTCTGGAAACGGTGGCTGGAACAGTGGCTTTGACTTAGCAAAGAAATAACTTCAGTTCTTACTTCTTCTCATTTCCCAGGACACTTTCTGACCACTGTGCAAATGTGAGTATTCCTTCCCTTTCATACCAGTTGGTTTACTGCAAAGCGTTCATTCACAACCAGCTCAGTCAGGAAAAGCTGTAGTGTTTTTTCAATTATTTCTCTGTTATTTTACTGATTACTCTTGCAAAACTCCCAAGTCAGAGGTGGTGCTTCCATGTCTTGCTAGGTACCTCTGCAAAGGAAAACATACTGAATAAATAAGCTAGAGTTTAAAGAGAAGCTGAGGTGATTACATTTGTCTTAGCTGGGAGGCCTGCATTCATAACAGACTTGTCTTCCCCGTGGAGGGACCTGGGTGCTTTTTCCATCCTGCTTCCATTCAGGCATGAGTGGAAGGAGCTGTTTTGCTAAGATGATGCTGCATGTTGGTGTTGGAAGGTCCTGGAGTGGAGGTTAGACAGGACAAAATCGGGTTCAGTAGGAAAACTGGCAAAAAGGATTTCCGGAGGAGGAAACAAAGAATATGACCGAAAGGACTGGTCGATTGGCAGTAGAAATCTCTATGCTTTCCCCATAGATTTTACCCCTCTTGAAAATTCTTTCTCAAAGGCAGTGCTTTGGCAGACTAGAAGGAAATAACTTGTAAAAGATGATTCCTATTAAGTAAAGCAACTCAGTATACTACTTTCTGTTACAAACTGACTCCCACATTTCCAGTCACAATTTTTCTTTCAGATCTGAATTTCCAGGCCTACACCAATTCCCCTCACAAAGAAGTAAAACCAAAATCTCTGTAGACTTCGCAGTCAACTTTCCTCTTCTGTTTCTACAGTTTTTCACCACGGTGGGTTTCTCTTTACTGTGCTGCTCCTGATAGTAAAAGAGAGGATTATTTTCCTGGCTCCAAGCTGATGACCTGTTGTGCCAGACACACTGTGCATAACAATAGGACGGCTTTTACTCTAAAGAGCTAATGGTTTTCATAAGAGTAAATCCTGTTGTAAACAGCCATCATCCCTGATGGTCTAATTAACCCCAGCAACCATCAGCTGACCGATACCCACAGTGTGCGAGACAAGGCACGGGGTGCCTGCTCAGCACACAAGGGAAGGACAGAGCTGATAGTCCTGATAAACAGAACGTCTGAGCTCAGGAGGCAGTTCTCCTAAACTTTACTCTAGTTCCTGACCCTCCTAACCCCTCAGATACTGCCGGGATTTGTCTGACTGGATGCTCTGGTTTCTGTGATGATCGTGCCGTACTGGAGTACAAGAAAGCACTATGCATTGCCGTGTCCCGAGTGCAGTCAGGGAGCCTTCCCCAGGGGCAGGAAGCTATTTAATCGGTATTTAGCCACCAAGAAAAGAGGGTGTGGAGCAAGGATGTGATCAAGAGTGTTTCTGAATCTGGCAACTTCAGCTATAGAGCTGTTGAGGTTAGTCAGACTGTACACTTTACATGACCACAGCTTCTACTTACCAAGATGCAGAAGTGCCCTGTAACAAACCTATTCCACTCTTAGTTTGTCACTGAATGAAAACAAATGTTCTGTAAAATTTTCTGTGTAATTTTCAAACATAGCACAGATGAAATTTCCCTAATAGTTGGGTGGGAAGCAAACTGATTTTCTTCAGCAGAAAGGTGTTAGAGAGACTGGAAATGACGAGTAACTTGTGTCCTGTTCAGTTATTACTTTACAGGTGTTTGGAGCTTTAAAAATGTATTTATACAGCATGCATCATTCTTGTCTTGAAAAAGATGGAAATTGCCTTTGCAGATGCAGAAATTCAAACTCCGGATGGTTGTTTATAATAAGGTACTCCTATTTTTTTTTATTTGCAAAGTATATATTTAAACACCATATTTTCCAGAAGTATTTTGTGCTCTACTGATAAAAACCTTCCAAAGCTTGGACTCCAGAACAAAATCTAGAGCCACTTTCAGTTTTTTTGTTGTAAATAGTAAACTACACTCGAACTGAGGCATAGAAACAAGAGTTTTTCCTTGTTGTGTTATGTGTATTTTAAAACATCCCATTAGTTTGGCATTCCTTTGATTCTATTTTTCATGCTGCTGGTGAAGTTCACTTGGCCAAAGGAAAATCTAACAATATAATTAGGCCATCACCATTAGCAGTAAGTGCTTGACACCTTGCCCTATCAGGAGTAGGGTGATACCAGACTTTTTCAACTGAAGGTTATGTTCAAAGCAGACTTTAATTATCCCAATAAACATACAAACATATCAATTATCCCAATAAACATGTAAGCTTGTATCAACAAGGGAGCATTTTATCTTAGATAGTCTGTGTATTTATCTCTCATGGAAATGTGACCCTCCCCTTAAATCCCATCCATCTCAGGTTTTGAAACAATAAGAGATTTTGTTTGGATTATTTTTGTTCTGTTTAGATTATTTGCAGCATTTTGCTCGAAGGAATGACAAACCATTTACATTTTCAGGGCACAAGTGATTGTGTGGAATTTTTTCTGTAACAAAAACGTGTCTTATGTTACTGTCAAATCCCAGCATTTCCTTTATTTAAATCCATCACCAGCCTTTAGGTTGACTGGCTGCCAGGTTTTACTTGTTTTATTGGAGAGTTTTAGCCTCTCCATCATGTTACTGCTTGATTCTGTAGAGGGGGTCCCAAACAGCCTTCTTAGTGAGGCAAGACAAGGAAAAGAGGCTGACTTCCCAAGGTCTGGCAGGTCTGCTGGCATAACAGAAACTACCACGCGGCTGTAGAAAGCTCCTGGAGATGTGACAATGTCCCAGAGCTACATCTCCAGTGGGCTTTTTTCTTTGGTGTAGGGCTAATTCAGATTTGAATATAGTTTGTAATGACTGAAAAACCAGAAAGTACAAGAACGGTTTGTGGGACCAACAGGAATAGCTGCTTTTTGGTTTTAAACAAAACATTCAAGACAATAAGAGACAGCTTTTTGAATATATGTAGGTTCCTGAGGATGATGTTAGTGGGAAGAAAATGGCTGAGCTGCTTGAAACTCTTACTAGGCTTTTATATTTTTTTTATCTGCACATCTAAAAATGTTTGCAAAATGGCTCACCTTAAACGATATGCATAAGAGATTACTAAAAGAACAGTAGTAGATTTGAAAAAAGGCTGAGTACCTCTTTTGTGGTTTTTCATGTTCCTTGAAAGAGAAAAAGGAAACAGGTTAGTGATACAGGTAATTAGTAGTGTAGTGACTACTTAGTTTCTCTGCATTAAACATTTTGAGGTTTTTAATTGCTGGTACAATATCTTTCCATTTCGATCATTTTAACTTGACTTCAACACAGGAATGGGACATTCTGATTGTACCTGGTTTCAGTCATGGCAATCATTCTGTCTCTTCCACTTTTCAGATCTTTTGGAGGAAATTTCTTACCTGAAGACAACTCTTGGGAACAGATTTTAGGTGTTAAGAGTCAGACATGCAGACAAAAAGGGAGTCACTAAAAACTGTTATGAGTGTTTGCTCTCAGTCACAGAGAATTACTGAATTGTATGTGGCTGCTTGGCAAAACCTGTGCTTTTTTAATATACCTTGTGCATTGTAACTTCTTTTTGAGTATCTTCAGATCTTTCTTTAAATTCCCAGATTTTGAGCCCAGAAGCTGCTTTTTACTTTGGGGAGACATCCCAGGTGCTATCAAATTCCCTGTTCTATTCTCCACCTTGTTATCTTATTATTAGGAGTTCCTGGGTGAACACATCCTTGAGAAATGCTCTCTCTGCCTGCAGATTATAGGCTAAAAAGAGTGAAAGGATGCAAAGTCCATTTTTGGTGGGGAACCCATTCAACTCTGGACCTTGTAATGAAGAAAACGAGGTTGCTAGCTAACAGGAGCTGTTAGCAGCACAGCCCCAGGTAAAATAATCTTTGAACTGCTCACCTTTAAGCTGTCAGTGCCCTGGAGGCAACATGTCCCACTTAGCACCCAACCACTGAGATCTGTTGGCCTGTATATGTCAAGTCTTGGGTAAACACGGGAATGCCATCACTGGCACTGGTGACAAACACACTGGTCCCCCAGGTACCTGCTGAATGAAGCCCAAGAGAAAAGCTGGTAATAGCAAAGATCTGTCCCTCCTCTCAGTTCTCCACCAACATCTACAGATGGCTGTAGAGTTTCTGTTTTTCATTCAAGCAACTTGACCTTCCTCCTCTTCTGCTTTTTCACTCCATTTATGCCTCTCATAATAAGATGAACTCATCGTAGACTATTCTGGCTGATGTAGAATGGGTTTCATCCAGATTTTGGCAGAACTCTTCCAGTTTGAAAGTGGTCTTGGAGGACTGCAGGTGAACTTGCAAGTGCAGGAATCCCGACAAGATGTCAGTGTATCCACTGCTGTGGCAATTTTCTCTGACAGCCAGACAAATTGGCCATTGTTCCAGTTCCTCCCTATTCATCACTATTTGGGTTCCCCTGATACCCACAAAAAATGAACAACAGCTTCCCTTGAGCTTGAAAACTCCTAGTTAAAAACAGTTGTTTGTCTGTGAGTGTGTGCTGCCCCAGATAAGTGTTTCTGGTAGCAAAATCTTCAGTGCACCATATTGAGATAGATATATATAGCGAGATATATAGATATACATATAAATTTAAAAGCAAGTGTTATTAAAAGAAATCATCCAGACACCAATTTTGCAAATATATCCCGAAAACTCTTAAACCACTAAAATTTATAGGAATATCAGTCAGGCACTGCCTGGGCATCAGTTTATGTGCTGTTATATCTGTTAGGAGAATCGGGGCTTTGGTTTGCAAGATCTGTAGTGGCTCAAAGGTGCAGTTTAAGGAAACTGCAGCTTTGGCATTACGGGGGGAGGGATTTATCGAAAGCTCAAAGTCTTTAAATTTTTTTTAAAAAAAGGAAACTTCATATATTTCTAAAGC